AACAAGAATGGACCCACTGCCTATCCAAAAGCATGTAGTAAGAGTCGACTAATTGGGAGCTTCATTTGAAGTCAGAGTGCATCTGCCTGAGAGGCAAGGAACCAGCAGTCTGCATACAAATTAGTTAGATCTGTAAAACGGATGCACACGTAACACTCAGGTTTTGGAACAGGACTGCAGTCGAAAAGTGGATAAACAACCAGAACTTTCCGCCAGAGTTTACAGCTGGTGACCGCGAAGAAAAAAGAAGAAGTAACTATACAATTTTTTCATTTTGAAAATGTGTGTTTATTAGGGCTGTACCGAATAGTGATTTTCACTATTCGGCCGAATACGAATAGTGGGACCAGCTATTCGGCCGAATACGAATAGTGTATCATCATCATCAGGTGCCTTGCCGACTGGCGTGGCGATCATGCCTCTCCACAATCTACTATCTCCTGCAGCATCTATCAGTTCGTGTGCTGACACACCTCCATGCCATGCAACAAGACTGTCAAGAATCTTCTATCGTTGCCTTCCTCTATCCCTCCTTCCATAGATCTTTCCAGAGGTCCCCAAATGTTCCATTTTCCCTCTTCTCATAACATGGCTGAAAAATGACGACTGTCTCATTCTGATGTCTGTGATTAGTTGACTTCGGGCTCTCGCCTTTTTCAAAACCATCGTTCGCTCGGCCGTTCGTTGGATGTAATTTAAATGCACCTTCAAATTCTCGTTGGTAATATCTTCAAATTTGATTTGGGCGAAGACACCCTGAAAGAACGAAAAATGCATGATCTATCTCTCTCTCTCCCTCACACACACACACACACACACACACTGCGGTTGGCATTTTATGCAATTTGTACCACGCAACCGGGTCGCAGTTTCCCCCGCTACGACAGACTTAGGCAACAGCAACTTTTGTGTTAATGAGAGTTATTTCAGTCCATCACAGTGTATGTAGAAACAGGAGTAAGGTAACCACTATTCGTATTCGGCCCGACCGCAACTATTCGGCCGAATACCGAATAGTTATTACGTCCACTATTCGGCCCCGAAGCGAATATTCGGTAAAGCCCTAGTGTTTATTTTTAATTTTGTTTTGTTCTTCGCTTTGTCTTGCTTGGGTTTTTTGGGTAGCTTAGCTGGGTTTTTCAAAAACAATCAGATTGGCAGCCCTGGCTGTGTTTTTTTTTCTTTCTAACAACTGGAAACCATTTCCTGTTCCGTTCAATTGTTATGATATCAAAATGGTAAGTCTTTAGAGGTTATATCAAAATATCTGTCATAATCCTTATGCATCATAAAATCTTTATATAACTGTACTATTTTTTATTATCGTTAAAATTAAAAATAAGTATATTGATACAAATCTTTTCTACATTGATTATAGAATCTTCTCGGAGACGCAAATGTCAAATTTTATAGTTTATACGTGCATATTATTTTCTTTTACTGAAAACTGAAAGTGAAAGTTCTATCGAACGAAGGAAGGAATTGAGATTTGGGTAACGAATAATTTACGGTTACTACCTGTTTGTTTAATAATACGTATAATTTTGTAGACTATATTTATGCACTTCACAGTGTAAGTGTTAAAAAGAATGTCTTTTGAATTTGAGGAAGAAATGTCATTGTTAACCGTAGCAAGTAGCAACATTTGGGCTCTCCTTGCAATTCAAACGGTCGCTAGTTGGACGGCGGCGGCCGCTTCGTCGGAGTTAAGTCCCCTGGCTGCAGTGCAATTACGGAGTGGAAAAGAGGGAACGAAACAAATGACATAATTAAGGCTAGGGGTAGGGTTAGGGGTTCTCCTTGCAATAACGGTCGCTACTTGGACGGCGACGGCAGCTTAGTCGTAGTTCAGTCACCTGGCTGCAGTGCAATTAACGGAGTGGACAAGGCACGAATCACAAAACAAAGTGAGTTTAACATGGCTTCTAGACCACGCGCTGCGACTCACATTAGCGACGTTACATGTGTTACCCTAAACCAAACCCTAACCCTACCCCTAACACTACCCCTAACCCTATTGGTTCTCCTTAAAACTAGGGCCACTTATTATGGCGGCCGGGGGAGTACGCCGGAGTTCAGTCCCCTGGCCGCATTGCAATTAGTGTTACGGTGTGGAAAAAAGGGAACGAAACAATTGGCGATAGACAGCGTGCAGTGCACTGCTGTCATAATAGGGTTGGTTAGGGTAACACATGTAATGTCGAGAACTTACTCATAATGACGGCCGCTATAATATAGCCTATATCTAATTTTGACACAGGAGTTGCAAATTAATGGCCGAAAATGTGCTGCTTGTAGCAGTGGCGCCATTGGAATTCTGTTAAATATGACGGCAATAGCGCCCGGCTAGTTCCCAATTGGTGCTGAATTTTGCGTTTTAGTATCATCCAGGCCCCTTCAATCGTTTGGGTGTGGGTGTCACTGTGCGACGTCAACGAAGTTGGTCTGGTGGACGACAACCTCGTCCAAGAGTATCTGTCACAGCAGTCCTGCTGCGACGCTGACGACATAGGACGGTTGCAGGAGCCACATACACGCATGTTCCTTATGACTCTATGCTCAGCTAGCCACCGCAACCATGCAAGCTTATCGCTCATTAAGACATAAAGATCCGCAGGTGTCACATCCACGGCCACTAAGTCTTGTGTCGCAAGAACGCGGTCGCTAATTTGAGTCGCAGCGAGTGATCTACCAGCCATCGACCTCACTTTGTTTTGTGATTCATGCCTTTTCCACTCCGTAATTGCAAAATGCGGCCAGGGGACTGAACGGCGCACTCCCCCGCCCGCCATTATAAGTGGCCATAGTTTTAAGGAGAACCAATATTTGAATTCTGGTCTCTTATTGCGGCCAAACAAATATCTGAACAGGGCTACAGTGATATGGCGATATACAAATTGCGGAGTGGCTGCTGAGGAACAAATTCCTCCGAATAACGGGCCAATATTATCGAGGGCAAACAAATGCTCTAACAGGGTCTTAGTGATATGTTAATTGCGGACCTGTTTCTGCGACTATGCCTCACAGCTGACATTACCCCCTGCGCGCTAAGCGCGGCGCATGGGGGGGGGGGGAGGCTAAACTAGATGGCTGGGACTCAAGAGCAAATAATTTAGAGGAAATTGCAGGGGATGCGGTAGCTGATGCTCGTGAGTCCAAGCTATCTAGTTTGCCCCCCATCCGCGCATGCTCGGCGGGGGATACGCTCAGGGGTGAGTTTAATCTGAAGAACACTATCGCTAACCTGCGTCTGAGCACGTGGTTTCCCTGCCATGTTGCCATATTATATATAAGTATTATCATGTGTATTGTGTCGTTTCTGGAAATTGTCAGTGGACCGTAATCCTAGTTTTGCCGCAATATGTTTGTCCCAGTAAGTCCGCATTTTACACACAACTGAGGCCCTGTTATGGTATTTGTTTGACCGCCATAATGTGGGTACGAAGTTCGAAGGAGAGTCGAATTTTGAATTATTTAGTTTAAAAAAAAAAAAAAAAAAACTACTGCTGGAGAGCTACTTGCTACTAGTCCAGTTAAACCCAATTTTTCTTTATTCTGAAGCCACACTGGCTTTTCCTGGGCGTCCTGAATATAGCCGAGCCATAGAAATGGCTTAAACGGCTGAAAGGTGTTTTTTCGGACCCGGACCTGTGTGGAGAGGTCCCAGAAACCCGCTAAGTGATCCTCATCCGCAGGGTGGCATTCTGTGTCCCTGGGTGTTTATCGCTTATGTAATGTTCTGGTGAGGTACAACTACTTACCTACCCCTCGTTTAACTACACACACATTGGATTTCTCAAATTGTTTTCACCCGCTATATTTGTATATATTTTATATTATTTTTACTCAGTGTTTCAATTTTAAAGGGACCCCCTCCCAACCCCCTTCAAATTGATTAGTTAGTTTTCATATCCAAAATAAATAGATTGGATTTGTTTTCATTTCTTTTTGAAGAAAGGATCAAATTAAAAGAAAGAAATAATCATTATAATCTAATCTTTTGCGGGAACGAAAGGAGACATACCTCTTCCTCAGTCCTGTGCACACATCTTGTATTAGTGAATTACTACTGGTTACTGTGTCAATTACACCCAAAGTCTTTCTCTAGCCAGTTCTCCAGCCCCGTGTTTTAATAAATTATAGCTAGTGCATCTTCAATGTCCTATATATCAATCTTCTTGTAGTTTGGCTTCTGCCTCATTTGATTTGTGTACAGGCTTTACTTTTATAAAGCATTCTTTAATGTTAACCCTTGAAAATCATGGAGGCAGGCAAGGAATACAGTCTTGAGTAGAGTCTTTATCTTGTTTTTAACCATTGGTGCACGAGGCAGTCCTATTCAACTTTCCCGGCCCATCTACACACTACCTGACCTTTTCATTCATACTTTCTTAGGCTTCTACATCAGAATGGTCTCACGTTGTCTTGCCTCCAATTACATCAGAGTTGATGTGGCATATTCTTTACTACACAGCCACAAAGCTTTCAACAACCCCAGAACATCTAGAACTGACCCTAACCAAACCCCCCTATTCTCAGCCTAAGCTTAGATCCCACGAAAGACTCCTTTCGAAGAAAACAGTACAACGTGACACCCCTCTGACCTAGACCAGACTGAGAAAGTGTGTAGATGGAAACGGTAATATGACCCATTGGGTATAGGAGATAATGGTAGCCTGAGACTTATTCATTTGTAGACCAGTCGGCGGGCGATGTGGTCACCACAATCATGATTATACCAGCCACCTTTACTTTCCAGTTAAATTACTTGATTAAAGTCGTTCTAGACCTGGCAGCTAAGGCCCGTGATGAAAAAAAATTGATCTTGATGCTGATTTTGACCTGAAGTTTCCTGGCCAGCTGGCAAGCATCTAATGGTCTACAGTTACACTGTTACTGCTACTTTCTTGCTGCAAAGTATGATAAAGTTATAAACAAAACATGTGATGAGTTTGCAATCTTGTCCTTTCACTTGTCTGTTCTGTTGAGTGAATTTCTGCATGGCTACTCCAGATTGTATTAGTGACGTGATCCGATTTTTCTTCTTTGCGTTCACTGCTTGTAAACTCCAGCAGAAAGTTCTGGTTGTTTATCCACCTCTGGACTTTAGTCTTGTCCACAAACTTGAGTGTTGCATGTACACCCTTTTACAGGTGACTTATGTTTATGTAGATTGTTGGTTCCTTGCCTTAGGCTGCAGACGTACTCTGACTACCTTTGAATGAAGCCCCAACCCCACTCACCCACCCAGTCAATCGACTCTGACAACATGCTTGTCGGGGAGACCGTGGGTCTCTTGTTGTTTTTCCCCACAATGGGGCCCAGAACCCACTTAGGGAGCACAAGATCAGATTGATATCAGACATTACATTGAAACAAATTGCGGAAACAGTTACAAGAGAGAAACGGAGACACCAAACAGAATACAAGATGTGGTGCTAGTTAGTATAAGAATTCATGAAATTTCGAGATAGTAGACAGACAGGGCAAGACCAGAGGAAAGGATGTAAGTTAACAGATTATTAAACCATTAAGTCTGTAAATGCTCATGTCCCCTCTTCAGTATCTCTCTCAGCATGTAGTGGCCTATGACACTAGTTCTGTATTGGTATACTATTCTATTTTTTGGCCGCCGTGTACCGCTCGTCTGCCTTCGCCCCTTTTGATGTTATTACCGTCAGTGTTGCAGGTATTCACATAATCATTGCTTGATTCATTTAGTTGAGCCACCTCTCTGAGAGCATTCAGTATATCAACCCTGTCTATTGCTTGTCTGTTTCTTATGTGAGCATCACTTGCAAGTTTGTTTGATAGTGTGTGTGTGCTGTCATGGAAGATCTTGATGAGAAATTAGTAACAGCACTGTAAGGCAGAAGAATGTAGACAAACATGATCAACATCGCCTGGCAAGGACAGAGAAAAAATTTGCGAAGTCGACAGGACCGCAGCTGAAATATTGTCATTGTATAGAAATAAGTCTTACATTATTGGGGAGGCGTTAAGGCAGCAGTGATCTTTTACTGTTAGAAAATATAAAACAAGGTTTGTATTGAGTATTATCCCATTCTAATATTCTAATTATATGTTAGTTATTGCCATGTGGATTTTAAAATAAAAATAGACTCACTTAAAGGCACTTAAAAGGCATTTCATAAAAGTTTACCTATTTAAGGATAGAAAGGTGCAGATATTGCAGCCTAGCTTTAAACCACAGCGCAACCTACCAGCCGCCCTATTCTCTTAGAGAACACAGAAGTGTGAGTAACTTCTACATTATGTTATAGAATAATTATGCTTGTATCCTCTCCACACATCAGATTAATACTGTGCCACTGTTAACAGACTAATGTGAGTTTATTTTGTTGCACCCGTCTAGGCTCGTGTGAGAACCAAGACCGTGAAGAAAGCATCTCGTGTTATTATTGAGAAGTACTACACGAGGCTGACAAATGACTTTCACACAAATAAACGTGTTTGCGAGGAGATTGCAATTATCCCCAGCAAGAAGCTTCGCAACAAAATTGCAGGGTATGTTAAAAAAATACATATGTCACATTTAAACTGTAAGATTGGATTGTTAGATTGATTGGTAATTAGTGTACTTGGAAACCTTTAGCTATGACACTTAAGTTAGTTGTATTATTGGATATATTTTCATTTATTTCTTATATTTATGATCCATTGTTGGTTCTGGCACCCTCCTCCCACCACACATCATTTAATGTAATCTAGATGTAGTTCACTGGATAGGGGTCAGGTTTGTTTGGAAAAGAATGGTTTATAATTTAGTATATTTAATAACACCCAGCAAAGGACCTATTGTGTTTTGGTTTACAGCTGGGCTGCGATATCTGCACCTTTCTGACCAACTCACCCAGTTTTATTTAAATCCCAATAAGTTGCCATTTATGATATGCTTATTAGGGAAAGTGCAGTGGATATATACTTATTCCTCCACATGAGGCCATGAAATCAACCTCAGGAGGACCTGCTACATATTGATTATATTGCTTTTTCCCCCTCAAATATGTGGTTTTATTGGTCACATAACTACAAGCCTAATGAGAATTTGAGAGATTCTACACTTTCCTGTTATTGGTACATTTCACTCTTTTGAGACGATGTGTTATATTGCGCTTTTATATTGTACTATGGGGATGCAAGGGCATTACAGCCCACGGTGAGTGTACTAGACTCACCTACATAAGTAAGGTCTTCCACAATTAGAGCATGGGATTTTAGGACCGTTGTTGCCATCATGAGTATTTAGTTTGCCTCTTCTCAGATGCTCAGCGGTCAGCCTTTCTGTTGTCATTTTTTTCTCTTTATTCCTGTTTTTCTGATTCCCCCCACCACCACCCAACACGGTGCATGGTGTTTTGTTCCGATGTATCGGCTTCAGTACCTGTATCCTTCAAGCCCTTTTTGCCCATATCTTTATATCATAGAGGCCAGCCTCAACTTCTTCTGTCCATCTATAATTCAGCATAGATGATTTCCTTGGGGCCAGGGATAAAGTTCCTCCTCTCCATAGTACAAATCCTGGGCAGTTTTATAGGTGATGCCCCCATGCATCATGATACTTCACTAGGCCTGCCTTGTTTACATTTGGAACAAAGTATGCTGCAATCGCTACTGGATCAGAGGAGTAGTGCTGACAGTCTGCCTGTTGGAGCATATCTCCAGACCATTAGATAACCAAGGACTGCTATGCCATACTATGAACTGTTCAGGTTGCATCTCCTCTTCCTAGGATAAGGCTAGTATCTTTCACCCTGTCATTTGCACAGTGTGGTATGTCAGGTCTGGTTTATACGCCCGCCATTCAGTTGTACCAGAAAGCTTCCTAGCTTTGCTACATAACTCATTCCTTACCAGACAACTCATGCGTTAATCACAACCCATATAACCACATAAGTAACATTCTGATCTGCCTCTCTATCATAGAAAAGATTAGCCTAATTCTAGTAACATGTTCCAGAAGTAATACATTTAACTAACCACAGTTAAGGCTCTTAGTTGCAAGTAATGTTGATAGTTATACATTGTAATGTTTTATAGAGCTTGGTGTTGTAACTGAGTCTCTGGCAGCCATACATATTTTTGTACAAATATGAAACATTTTTTTTTTCTTAATTACATTCATTTTGCTTGTCTTGTATTTTTCAGGTTTGTTACACATCTCATGAGGAGAATACAAAAAGGGCCTGTGAGAAATATCTCTATTAAGCTGCAGGAGGAGGAAAGAGAAAGGAGAGACAACTATGTACCTGAGGTTTGTCTTCTTTTCTGATTTCTTGATGCAGTGTTGGTTGTTGTATGTTTGAAAATCTTATTTTGCCCATGTATTTCCAAAGCATTCAAAATGGAAACAAAGAATAGTTACGTTGTAATTTAATGCAATCTTTTCCCTTTGGTGGTCCTTATCATTCAGTCATTAAATGTCCCAATATGGGATACAATTTTTCATTATTTTAAAGCCCCACTCCAGCTGTTGTTGGGAGGTGCTAATATAACTGAATAGTTAAACCGGGTTTTCTGGGACGTGCACCTGGGTGATTTTCATCCGAATGGTGGCACTTTGTGTCACCAGGTGTTCATCACTCATTGTGTAGTCCTGGTAGTGTTGAACTTCATTCATTCATTTGGTGGTTCACATAACTATCTTAAGGGTCTGATACATTTCAGCTTCAGAATGTACTTAGTCGCTCCTCTTTTAACTTGGGGTGTAGAGGTTTGCCAAATAGATCGCCAGACGTCTCTATCAGCAGTTTTCTTTCTGGCTCTGTTCCATTCCAGTACTCTTGTCGGTCAGGGACTATCGGATATTGTGGAACCTGGGTTGCCTTGGAGGTCTGGTTCCCTGGTTCTTAGCCTCCCATGCCTGCGATGGGGGCCGATTTTCTCCCATTTTGCATACATGTCTAAACTTTCATAATTGTGACTGGTCCACTCTGGTTTGTAAAGACAGATTATCAAAATCTTGATATATTATCTGATTGTGGACTTTGTCCCTTCTTGTCACTTGGATCACCTTTCTCAGATCTCATTTCTGAGGCCTGAAGCTGGTGTCATTGCCCATGACTCACACCCGTAGGTCAGGACTGGGACATAGGTAGAGCCATATTCATCCTCTTGCCATTTGCTAAGAAACTTTGATTTATGACCTGGAAGAGTCTCCCAGCAGCTGCTTTTTGTGTAGCTCAGTCTTAATGCCTCTGTGTCGGCCTACTGCAACTCCAAGGTATTTGAACTGGTTGACCTGCTCCAATGCTCACTGACCCATCATGATCTGGTGTTTTTTCTCCTCTCTTGAGACCACCATCGTTTTAATTTTGGAGATACTGATGGTCATCTCTCTCCTCAAGCTCTTTCTTCCATACCAGTAAGTTGGATGCTTTAGAATGTAATATTTCTTTAATTTTGATCCCAATTTAATTTTATAGATAGGTTTTATAGATAGATAGGTCTAGAAATGGATGAACAACCACAACTTACCACCAGATAATACACCCAGGGAATGATCAGAAGAAGAAATGAAGTTACCAGCCTGTTCTTTTTAACTTTACTCATCATCATCATCATAAACCACTTCTGTTGTTAAGCGCCGTTTGGAGTAATAATTTGTGATCCAGTGCTGCCCGGCTGGCACTGGCTAAAGGCGTCAAGTGTATTTAATGCTATCGATCCATATTTTCATGGCTGTCCTCTTGCTCTTGTAGCCAACTTTCTTAGACTTAGTGCCTTGGATGGTATTTGATCTTGCTGCATTCTGGCGAGGTATCCAAAACACTTGATCTGCTGTTTCTTGATGAATCTAGTACAAAGTTTTAACTTTGCTAATTTGTTATAAACAAAGGTTTGTAAATCACTTTTTTATATGACTTAAGAAACATGGGCTCCGTGGCAGGCCTTGGAAATAAGAGCGGACCGGAGGTCTTGGCTAATTATAAATACAGATCTGGTGTTTGTCATGTTGTATCTCTGGAGGCTTAGTATTAGACAAGCTATATGGTACCATTAACCTTGGCTGGAAGATTCTACTCATCATTAACAGGTCAACAAAATGGCCTAGTATGAGTTTGTTAATGGTGTTTGTTTCATTTAGAGATTTAAGACAGAAATACCTAATTGAAATTCTTTTTCTGTGTATTCTCTTAAAAGAATGGTTGGCACACAGTTGTGGTCGACAGGCTGCAATCTCTGCACTTGTCTGCCAAGCACATTGTTTCAGCAAATCCCTAATCAGTTACCCGCTTGGGCAGGAATTATTAAAATTTGTAGAATAGAGCTACATTACAAGACAAGCATGGCTGACCAGCGACAACCCTATACTCTCTCTGACTTGTTTGTTCGTTTGTAAAAAAAAAAATTTTTTTTAAAGCAGTCGGATGCAACTAAATGTTCAGCATTGCTTTTGTCGAATGCAGAGATTCAACTGTTATCCAAAACCCGAATGGACACACGTTAACACCGATGGATCATTGGAGGGAGCAGATAAAAATGGAGGAGCTGGATCGGTCATCATGCTGCAAGATAGGACCACAGTAGAAACGTCATGCGCCTCCGGAAAACTCAAAAAACTTCAGAGCAGAGCAGCAAGCAATTATTGATTCAGCCAAAGTGCTCGGGGAAAGAAAAAAAAACAGCAAAATTGTTTTCCTTTGTGACTGCGTCAGTCCTCCAGGCGACTCATATGGGTCCACGAGACAACATGGAAAGAGAACTGACCCGTCAGCTAAACAGACTCACAGAAAACAAGTCAAATTATTCTCCAGTGGATCCCGGCTCACAGCGGCATACCAGGAAATGAGTTAACAGACAGACTTGCAAAAAATGTAACAAAGGAGAAACAACACGCCCATTCATACCAGAAATCAGAACACTTATCAAAGAAAAATACAAGGGATTTGGAGAGAACAAACTAACAGTAAACATCCACAAGATCCCATCAGCAGACTCAACAGAAAGCAACATACAACGATTTTCCGTCTACAAACAGGACACTGCAGGCTCAACTACCACATGCATAAAATAAAGATTGTACAGTCCCCGCAGTGTGCCTATCAAACAGGACCCCAAACACCTGAGCACATTTTGCAGACCTGCCCACTCTACCTGCAACTTCGAAAAGACACCTGGCCTCAAGAGCAGAGTGTGCAGAGCAAGCTATGGAGAACCATGTAGGACCTGCAGCTGACATGGGAGTTCAGAGGCAACCCACCCGATGGTCTGATCTGAGCATACGAAACCGAACGCAAAGAAGAAGAAGAAGAATGCAGAGATTTAATAGAATCATGTAATTTTAGATTAAATTTTAAAAAAATAGTTATTGCAGTGTTTTAATTTTTGTATTAGCAGTTTGTTTTTATATGTATATATCTTGTCCACTTTTATAGGTCTCTGCACTTGAGATGGATATCATTGAAATTGATCCAGATACCAAGGAGATGCTGAAGGCTTTGGTGAGCTTAATTACTAGATGAAATTGTGCTTGCGTGTAGTGTTGTTGTTTCTTCTTCCCAGATTTAAAAAACAATTATTAAGCTGTAGGAATTATCACATGCCCTTTAGAAATATTTCATTCTTGAAGTGCAGTGACACTGACCTATTGGAACACAGTGGACTTTGTGATTCGTGCCAGTAACCCATACAATAAGTGTAGTCAGTGTAACGCTATTAGTTTTGCATTATATCATTGTTTGACCTGCTTTTGCTTACATCCCTGTTTCTTGGAGATTGTTCTTTGGAACATTCAGAAAGGAGATACATTCTTGCTACACCCTAGTTGATTTTCTTTGTTTTTAATTTTTTTTTGGTTTTTTTTCAAGATCAGTACTTCTGGTTTGTCATTGCTGTCATTATTAAAAATGCACCACAGACTGCTTAGAATGAGAACATCTAGTTGCTTTGTGTTTATTATATTTCATCAGTGTGGCTTGCTGTGGCATTTAAAATAAAATAATAAACAAAACCTGAAAAAAAAAAACCCAGCACAAAATTAGGTACATCTCACAGAAAGAGAGTGACTTTTCTTCCCACTCATAAATTGCCATGTTGCAGAGCTTGTGCTATGTTGTGGGAGTGTCATGCTAAGGATCCGGCCTATAACACGCAGCATTTTACTAGTTGTCACCGCTCGGCGATATTGCATGTTCTGTATTACAGGATCTGACCACGTTTAACTGTCCTGAAACATACAGAACTGGCCCTAACCCCAACCCACCTATGTCCCGCGAGAGAGTGCAGCCCACCTCCAGTTCTGCATGTTCGCCTGACAACTAGTAAAATGCTGCTTGTTGTCGGACAGTCACTAAGCTTAACACCCCCGTAACATAGCACAAGCCCTGCAACATGCCAGTTTATAAATGGTTAGGGGAGTCACTCCCTTTCTTGGCCCGAAACCGTGAGTTGTAATCAAAATAAAATTTAGTGAATATTTTAAGTAGGAGATTTCTCAGTGTAAGTTATGAGCCTTGTTTTGGGGAAGTGGGAAGACCCACTGCCTCCTATCCGCAAACATGTTGAAAAAAGTCGACTAATTAAGGGTGTTTCCCTCAAAGCTGGAGTGCAGATAAGCCACGTCTGTAAAATGAATATGTAAGACTGAAGGCCAGAAGTGGATGAACAACTAGAAATTTCCGCTGGAGTTTACAATTGGTAAAGACGAAGAAATAGATGTAACAAGAACTAAAATATTAGGGTGACTGCAGAAGAATTTTTAACAGTTTTTAGAGGTAAAAATAAATGTTATGTTGTTATGTCTTGCCACTTTAGAACTAGTTATGTTCAATAAACGGCTTATGTAATGTAGAAATATATCAAAATTTTCACCATCAGCAAACACAGAAATCGTATGTTAAAAAAATACCGAAACACCTTCTGCAGCTTGTGATTAACTGTTTTATTGTTGTTACATTGCAGGACTTTGATAAGCTTCCACATCTCCAGGTCACCCAGCCTACTGCCAGTTTTGTTGGAAGGCCTCCACCAGCTGGCTTGAGAACATAGAATGTTAACAATGCAGTGATGATACTGGGTTACATTTGTGAATAAAGTTTGTTTAACCATTTGTCAAATGTATTCTTTATGTATAATGTGAACGTATACTTTGTGTTTTATTTGAACAGATGTCATGTATACTTCATTTTATGTGAACAAATGCCATGTACACTTCATGTTTTACGTGAACAGATGTAATTTATACTTCGTTTCATGTGAACAAATGTTATTTACACTTTTATGTTTTATGTGAACAAATGTCATGTATACATGTTTAGTGTAAGCAGATGTTTGTATGTAAACAAATGTCATGTATATTTATGTTTTGTTTAACCAAATCTGACAGCTATTTATCCCCTAGTTGGAATATTCGCAGTCTTTTTTTCGCATTTACCAGCTTTAAACTCTGGCCGACCTAAAGTTCTATTTGTTCGTCCACTTCTGGGCAGTAGTCCTGTTCCAAAACCTGAGTGTTGCATGCGCATCCATTGTACAGATCTGACTTATTGGTATGCAGACTGTTGATTCCTTGCTCTCAGGCAGATGCACTCTGACTTCAAAGAAAGCTCCTAATTAGTCGACTCTTATGACATGCTTTTGGGCAGGCAGTGGGTCTATTCTTGTTTCCCCCTATAATAGGGCCCAGAACACACACAGGGAATTAGCACAGCGGATATCCAGTTCATTTTTGGTAGGCTGACAAAGGACAATGGATATTTATCGCTCCACCAACACATAATTTGCTTCGGAGTTAGTTGCGTTTTCTTTTACAGGAAGTTTGCAGAGTAAACTCCCAGTATTTTTGGGTTGTTTATTTCACTAGGCAATTTTATGTTCAGTAGTTTGCCGTTGCCTGCACAGCCAGTTCTCAATACCACCCGAAACCAATGTAGTGCTGTCTGCTGCACAATAGCGTGCTGCCGGGATTGAACCAGCACTCGAGAAGTGTGACAGATTTCACATAATTATAACAGATAATCAAGCACGATGCTAGTTTCTGTGTTAGGTTGTTCCTTGTCATAAACTTGCTTCCTTGTCTTTTTAAATATATACAAGGTTTTTGGCACAAATTTATTAGAACCACCTCTAGTTTCATTTTCAGACAGTGAATTTTTCTGATTTCATCTATGACTGGCCATGGATACCAATGTTCCAAACACAAGCACAGGTCGCAAAATGTGGCTAAAGCTCTGAAATTGTTTCAATCAGATGTTTTTAATTCTGATAATGAAAACTTTTTTTGCCCACGAAAAAAGGTGCCGGTACTCACCACAAAGTGTTTGTTACAGCAGTGCTGTCAAAATTTTTAGGTAAATGACTGAATGACTTTCTACCCCACCAGGACATCACACCAGCGATAAACACCCGATGACACAAAGTGCCACCATGTGGATGAGGATCACATTGGAGAGGTCTCAGAAACCGCGTTCAGCCATTAAGCCATATTTATGGCCTGGCTATATTGTGGCCCCCGGGAAGAGTCAGAGTGGGGCCTGAAATAATCTTCTTCTTCTTGTTCACCAGCTGTACACTCTGGCGTAAAGTTCTGGTTGTTCGTCCACTTCTGGACTACAGTCCTGCTCCAGAACCTGAGTGTTGCGTGTGCATCAGTTTTACAGATCTGATTCAATTGAATGCAGACTGCTGGTTCCTTGCCTCTCAGGCAGATGCACTCCGACTTCAAAGGAAGCGCCCTAGTTAGTCGACTCTTACGACATGCTTTTGGGGAGGCAGTGGGTCTATTCTTGTTTTCCCCACAATGGGGACCCGGAACCCACACGGGGTCCTGAAATAATGAGAAAGTTTATTCTAAAAAGGACGATGAATGCTTAATTTAAGTACCTAGGTAAATGATTCGGGCTGGTGAATATATACTGCTGTCAGCTGGTCGTGAATCTAGCAATTCTGATATGGTAAATCAAGGAGGACCCATTTCTCTGCGAAGGATGTGATAGTCACCCACATTTGCATCTGAACTATTTCATATTATGGCTGAGCTGCATCGAAATGACTGGAGTTAGTCTGTTTATAACTACAAAGTAAACATTTTATGTGTAATGGACTGTTAAGGTTTTTTCTCCTGGTCTTAGCCGTTGTTTTTGCCATTGCTCTTGTTTTGAGTATTGTTTTATTGTGCGGCTACCTCTCTCTTTCCCTTGTTCTTTATTTCTTTCATTCATTCATACATATCAGACTGTATCTGTCCCTTTTTCTTCTAATCACCTGATTATATTACAGTATCTTGTGCCGTTAAGACTTCACACGAGTCTTGTTGTTGATTCCTGATTAAGTACTATCCTTAGCAATGATTTCAATATTGCATGTGAAACTTAGTTTAGGACGGGAGTTCTTGCCTCTCTAGATCTGGCTTTGACCATTATTATAAGCAAATACCTGCCAGTTTCATATCATTGACTGTATGTAATTATTATAGTTAGATAACGTACTGGACACAGCAGACTTTGCAGCCACATGTACAAGAAATTCAAGACTGGGGTTTCATAACTTTTGCTCATGTAGACAGGCACCACAGAATACTGACCATGTGCTACAGACATGTCCTCTCCATACAGTAGAGAGATCATTCATTTGGCCGGTTAACATTCCAATAGAAATAAAACTGTATAGTTTAGCGTCACACCAGACTTATGGAAGTTTGTTGCCCTCATCCGAAAACCACTGACAGAACGAAAAGAAGGCTGGCTGTAATTGTACATCTGACAACTGCCATCTCTATAAAATAGCCATAACAGATGTCATCTTTAGCCGTGGTAACTTAGGCGCTGGAGGCTTGTCTGACGACTCGATGATCTTGGGTTCGAATGTTAATTGAGTTGCAGCTCACAGATTGACCCAGTCTAACACATGCAATTTCGTGATAATAGAGACCGACCGATGAGAAATTAGCCATATCGCATATCAGTGCGTCTATTAGTCTATAAATTGGGAGCCTACTCAATGCGTCAAAAGCCTGAATTGGGTCCCTAATCTTACTACCGAAACTGCCGTCCTTACGAAATTTATATAAACTCTTGTTTGAATGATTTTACATGTCATTATCAGGGCTACATATTAACAAACCAGAAAAGAAAATTAGTAGTCACGGAATTGAGATGTCTGAGAAGGGCTGCAGGAGAGACAAGAAGAGACAATTTTTCTTCTTTTTAGCGTTCACCAGCTGTAAACACTGACGGAAAGTTCTAGTTGTTCATCCACTTCTAGGCTGGAGTCGTGTTCCAGAAATTGAATGTTACGTGTGCATCCGTTTGACAGAGCTGACTCATTTGTTTGCAGACAGCTGGTTCCTTGCCTCTCAGGCAAATGCAATCCGACTTTGAAGGAAACCCCTTATAAGTCGACTCTTACGACATGCTTTTTGGTAGGCAGTGGGTCTATTCTTGTTTTCCCCACAATAGGCTCTCTGAACCCACACGGGGAAGAAGAGATACAAATCAGAAATGAGGTCATAAGATAAGTCGGCACAGAACCAATTCTAAATTACATGCACTGACAGCAAATCAAATGGTTTGCCCACTTAGCGAGAATGCCCTGTGGTGTAACACACGGGGCGTACACCAAAAGAAGCGATGGACGAAGGTCACGAGATAGACCAAGGAGGACAAAATGGAAAGAATACTAGAGAAAGTCTGCAACAGCACGACGTGTCTATGATCGAGGCGGTAAGAAGCAGAAACTGATATCGCCTTCAAAGCAATAAAAGATGAAGTAAAGAAGATAGTAAGGAATTTCTTTTGCCCGCGAAAAAAGGTGCCGGTACTCACGACAAAGTGTCCATGAAAAGGTTCCAGTACTCCGGAAAGTGTCTATTACAATGGTGCTGTGACAAAAATGCTTAAAAAGTGCAGATACTGCGTAATGTGAATGTTATCGGGTGGAGGGGGCAAATAGGCAAAACTATGTGTTTATAATTCTGAGAAAAAAAAATGTGTTTGAAAGGGTTATAGTAGATTTTCCGCACCGGGTAGCACCTGACCACACTGCCGTTGCGAACCGCTAGAGGGGAAAAGGCGCTGGTCATTATTATCTTTGATGAGCTCCTATCAGGACGGCAGCTGTAATGTTATTTTCCCGTATCAGGAGGTTTTATGTGATGTATGTCATTGAGTTATCTTCTTTCGAGATTAGTTCTGTGGAAACCTACCGGGCGGAAGGCATCGGTTAGTGAAGATTTAGCGAACTTATGCCACATTTCGTAACATGAGCCTGAGGAGAATCATCTGTTGAAAGTCTATGGAGGGGTCGCGATATCATCCTGGTGATTACCATAATTGTTGATGGTCTAAATACAGGTCACATATTTTCCTGCCTCTTCTTCTTGAGCATTCCGAGCCCTTGAGGCGTAAGCACCGGAACCTGGGTGTTCATGCCCCATTAAAATGTCTGTGCCGTCTCCACAGTGAAGGTTGGCTACAGTCCATCATTGATGTCTTTGAGACTATTACGCAGCGAGGTCCCGATCTCTTCCACGACGTGACTCTTGTACCACTGTCTGGAAACAACGAGAACGGGGAACGAACTCAGCTACTCAAGGATGATGAAGGTGTTAGCTGCATTTTCTAAGCCGCCCCCCACCCCCCCCCCCCCCCCCCCCCCCCACACACAAATGATATGATAATTTTAAATAAATTAGAGGGTATGTGCTCAGTGTTCCCGCCCCCTATATATTTTGTAAGCGGTTCCCTTTGTCCGCACACACACACACATATATATATATATATATATATATATATATATATATATATATATTTGTCAACTCTGGCTAAGTCGATGCGAACGCTTCGTAATGCCGGGTTCGATCCCAGCTGCGGACCACGCGCCTTGCGTTGGTTTCGACAGTGGTATCAAGAAGCCGACCGTCCAGGAGCAATGGCAAACTGCTGGACGTAAATTTGTCTAGAGAAACCACACAACAGCTAGGGGCTGCTGGGGTTGGTTCTACAACGTTCTGTAAAGGATACGTTGTGAAGAACCATTTGTTTATGCCCAGC